AAAAAAAAAAAAAAAATAAAGTTGATGTATAAATTTCTAAAGTACCTGAACAATAAACACTTTTTATATGTCAATAACGTTAAAAAAGGAAAAAAAAAAAAAAAAAATAATAATAATAATTGTAAACTCATCGGACCGATCAATATGTTATATTAATATATAATCGGTTCTTTTTTAAAAAGACAAGCCACGGGCTCCGACTTACGTGTAAACTATGCTACATGTCGATGTACAAATGTAAATAAATAAAAGAAAAAAAAAAAAGAAAATTGTATGTTCAATGCACATCTGTTTGCATTAGAGAAACTGTATGTTCAATGTAATCGTTTTGTCTTTGTATCTGTTTTGTGTATCTTCTCTTTGTCAAAGCACACCAACACCTCCACCCATATTCGGCACAGCAAGGAGCATCAAAGGAAGTACCTCTGAGATAGCGGGAGACTTCAAGAATCAACGGATTTCCTCAATACTCTTGTATAACCTGGCATATACATTACAGTATTACTGCCAACAATCTTGGACTACAGGGTCCACAAAGCCACGAAAAAAAAAAAAAAAAATTTTAAGTTGGTACTTAAAATTTAAGTTGCAACTTTGTTAGTTTCGACTGAGTTGCTAGACTATGAATACGCGCCATAGTTTTTAAGTTATTTGTGTTAAAGTTTGTAAATTGAACTAACCTCTCGGCGCTATTTCTCACAATAAACACTATATTTATGTACACACTTCGGCAAAATAGTTGCATTAAAACCCCGGTCTGAGATTTCCACTTCAATATACAATTCTTAATTAATTAATTAAGTAAAACGCGTTTATAAATGTCTTCACAAACGTTTGCACATTTCACAAACAAGCAGAAATAACAATGGCTGACAGTAACACAAAATGTATGCTACCATACGTTAAAAAAAATACACCACAAATAAGTGCATATAATTAGGGAGTATAAGTGTACAATACTTACATACATTGCTCTTATTAAAAATAATAATATTAGGATCGATAGGAGTCTTACTCCTGATCATAACGGTACAATTTTTTTCGGGTGGAAATAATATTTACTGGCGTTATTGTAGTTCAAAGTACACTAATGTAGAAAACGTACATCGATCGCTCAATTTTTTATTAAAAATTTTCGCCTGCGGCGCTTTTTCCATAAAAATCAATACTTGATAAATAATGAAAGCACTCGTTCAATATTCAAATAATTTATAAAATTTTTAAGTGATAAAAACGATGACTTAAGTTGATTATAGTTTTTTTAATGTTATTCCTAACATTCGCATTCGTATTCAAAAATGTGACATTCGAAACATCCCTAGTACCAGTGTTGGCAAAATGTTAATCTGATCAAGGACTAAAAATTAAC